CATTTGGTTTCTGTACTCTTGTAGAAAGTACTGAAATAGTTGGAGCAATATCCAATCTCGCTCTCTTACTCAGAAATAATCCTTTGGCGATGAATGTGTGAAAAGTTTCACGTTTCTCATCATCCAATTTTTCTCCTTTTCTGATTGATAGCAAATCGTTACTTGCTTGTGTCTTCCACCCTTCATTTTCCTTGAACTTCACAGGAAATTCAGTCAACATTTGATTAACATAGTCATCCATTCGGACTTTGACTTTCCCCCTTTTACTGAAATCTAGGGTCATGCCCAAATATTCGTGAATTTTTCCTCGCTTGGATTTGACTGGTTTGATTGAACCATACTTTTGATTCATCCATTCACAAAAATCATTATTCACTTTTGGATCAATGTGGCTTGATAATAGATCGTCCACGTGAAATCGAATAGTTTGTTGTTTGCCGTTCACAATCTTGTTGGCAATACATCCATCATATGGATTGAAAATAAAACCATGTTTCTCCATGTCTCCTCTCAACCAGAGCATAGAGGCCTCTAACATCCTGTAGATGGCTCGTAATACTCTCACATAAATCACTCCTTTTCCGTTCTCAATTACAACATAATCACGATACCTTGGCTCCAGTCGTATCATCATGTTGACCAATAAACCAGTGATCTTCATCATCACTCTTGATTTTGCATCCATTGGCATTGGAGTTTGAATAAATGCATTTGGAATATCCAAAGACATCATATCTCGTCCTTCATATGCATCAATTACACATGTGATCAAAATTGCTTCCAATGCTGCAGTCGGACTTGAAGTATCCTCTCAAGAAAGCCATTCTCGAGTTCCATCTCCTTTATATACACATCTTCCTTTTATTTCACCAGTGTTTTTCTCTGCTAATAACATCATAGCATCTTGGGCTCTTCTTTTTTCCAAATCAGTCATGTCTTCAACATGAATTGGTTCCCAACATTCTCTTTGTATCAATTGATCAAGTTCTTTCATCACAGCCTTATTGCCTTCATCTTTGAATAATTTCAGTCCCTTATTTAGGTAGTATTGTTGGATAAACGATACTCCTTCATTTTGAACTTTATCCTTGATTTGTTGCATGAATCGCGCAATCAGAGTTGCCTTATCTCTTCCATATTCGGTTTTCTTGTCACTTCCAACCTGTTGGAATAGTAGATTGTATTTTGACTCTTTTTTTGGAATCCTTTTCCTTGAATTTTCCTTCATTGAAATTATTCCATTCAAATAACCTTTCAATTTCTTGACTTTTTCCTTTTTTCTCATTGCACTCCTGTTCTTTACCGAATTACATTTTGGTTTCTTTGGATACAGGTATTGTTCATAAATTCGATCAATTAAGTCGTCATTTTCCTCATATGTTTCACGGGTTTCCTCGATTTGTTCTTCATCGTTAAGTGATTCGACATCTTCCTTGTCTTTTTGTATGTCTTCTTCAATTTCTTGAATCTTTTCATTTAAATCTTCATCATTCTGATATTTTTCATCATCATCATTTCTCCGTCTCAATCGTTCATAGATACTTGCAACACTCCTGTCTTCTGTCTGTTCTTCAACATTTGTGGTGTGCTCATCATCATAGTTTTCAATAAATTCTTCCGCTTCTTCAAGTAAAGCATCAATTTCATCTTGATCAATCTTTTCATTACGAAGATTCTCATCGCTTCGTTTGTATTCATTTACGCGTGGAATATATGTATCATCCCACAGTTCATCTAGGTCCACTCCTGCAAGCAAATCACCATCCAATATGATTTCACCATTCTTCCAATGATAAGTATGTAAATCACAAACGCCTTTGTCGTGTGCCATTTGTTCCACAATTTTGATCACTTGCTTGGTGATCGGAAGTACCGTTACATAGGGTCTTGGTACTGTCTTTTTTGCATTAAGATCAAGTAACTTATGTCCCGCTTGTATGCTGTCATTCACTCCAAGATAAATACCATCAATCGTTCTTGATCGTTGACTGTTGTTGGTCGTGTGACCATATCCTTGTACAAAGGATCCAATTTCAGCAACACATTCTTTTGAAAAATCTACCGGTTTTTGTCTTACAATCATATGTGGACTGTAATATTTTTTCGAAATTCCCTCCTTTGCAGGATAAAAGTTAATAACCTTTGTCACATGCTTGAGTAAAGCAATAGTCAAAACCTTGGGAATTGCCTTGAACACCATTCGATGATAGTGTGCTCGGAATAATCCTTTCAATGTTTGATTGCTGCGCTCAATAGTTGATTCGTGTTCGCCCGGCGTGGCATAATTCATGGTCACATCCATATTATCTTTCACGTCATCAAATGCCGGTTTGAATTTGTTGTCGCAATAAATAGTTTTGATTCAAAATTCTGCATGATTATAAATGCGTAAAATTTCGTCAATCGACTTGTAAATAGCATCTTTCGTCCAATCTTTCAGTTCAGTACTGAATTGGAATTTGATCGCTTTGTCAATACTGACAAAAAACGCGACATTGTTGATAAACATAATGCCAATGCATAAATCCAGGTTTGAATTGTGTTTCAGTACTTCCTTGGGCATTTTAATGGCTTTTGTTTGCCCTTAATTGTTGAAATGCTCGGTCCATATATCTTTTCAGAGATATTAACATCTTCCTCCGTAATTGGACAATTTTTGAAAAAAATTTCCCCGAATCGCCAACTTGAATAGTTCTGCACCAGGTGCTCCCATCATATGATAGCCACTTCGTGCAACATTTGCTCGTTTCACTTGTTTGTTTGTGAAAACCTCTTTGTTCTTCTCCACACTCTGTAGAGCACAGTACCCTTGCACATCATTATTATCAAGTCCACGTGCATGGTCATGAAACATTGTTGTTACCATAGCAGGTTTGTCAACCAAAGTATATAATCCATTGCGATGTCCAAATCGCCATGTAGTGCCGTTTTTAGTCACAAAGAAGCTGTTCTCTCTCTTTGTGTCCATAAATACATCAAATCCATCTTGTACCATATTTGACAAGCTGTTGACGTTGTCACTAGCTCGTGTATCAAGCTTACAAACAGAATCAAATACCTTATCAATTCCTTCTTGATAAAGTTCCCTTCCCTCAAGATTAGAGGCATAATGGAATCCTTGCAGATTTCCTTCTTTAAAGTCATCTTCATTGATTCGCAAATGAAAAGTAGATCCACTATCCAAGTGGATACCAGTATTGTTGTGTTGAAATAACATCATCCCTTGTTGTCTTGGATGATTGTCAGTATGTCCTCTTTGAACAAATTGTCCTTCATGGGATCCATTGTTGGAACGTCCATATTTCCATTGAGTGTTTGAATCTCCCGATTCATTATCATCACGCATTGCATTCTCATCACGTTGCATATTCTGTCGATTACCACGACCATTCACGTCCAAATAATCCCTATATTTGTCCGGGTTTTTCCATTGTTTCTGCGGCTTCAATTTGTCTGCACATTGAGGTGCGATATGATCTTTTGATCCGCATACAAAACACGCTCGAGTTTGTTGTTGCAAAAACTGAGCTCCGTTATTTTGATTGTTGTTTGACTTGATTTGTTTTCCTTGTCTATTTGAATTTCCTCCATTCGAATTCTTCTTCCTATTATTGTGCTTGTGTTGATTCAAAACATCAGCAGCATTTTCCAAAGTAGTTGGAAATGTACAACGTTGTTTCAAATCCAGATGTTTCAACGTGTACTGCGCCGTCATTCCATCAATTCTTGATTGATACTTGGCTCTATCGGAATTATACAGAAATCCGTTGGCCATGAATCTTTCCCATGATTCCTTCTGTTGGGAATTCACGTGCGCGTGTAAGAACTAATGAAGTACTGTTTGGACTAACAAAGTACTTGTGGAAAATCCAGGTTTACATGGATTAAAAGTGGTCTTCAGGCGTGACAAATAGATAGGATATACCGGTAGCTGGGTCAGAACCAGCTTGTCACATTTTTGAGGACCAGA